CCTAGACCCTTTTCTGATGAAGGGTCTAGGCCCGAAACGTCAGCCTCTCTGCTCCTATGATGCTGCTTGGCCTGCTGTGTTCATCCAGCCCTGCACCTTGTTGTCTCGGATTCTCCAGCATCTGCAGTTCCTACTACCCCCTTTAACATTAACTGGCCAGTTTACTTCAGCCAGCTCTGTCTGCTCTCCTGTCTTCATCATTACCCCTACGAACAATTTCAGACAGCTCTGGGGACCCTATGGGGAATTAGGAGGGCATGGAAACAGAACTGCCTGAAGTGATTTAGGAAATTAGGTTAATGTGTAGGTCAATCCAGACGCAGGGGCTATCACAGAATAGATGCTAGCAATGAGAAAGAAAAATGAACGTGTGTCTCGTGGTTAACTAGAAATGTTAAAGATTTAATCAAACTGAAATAAAATGCACATCATTGTGCAAAGAAAGGTAGCCTGTCAGAACATAAAAAGCAGCAAAGAATGACTGAAAAATAGATAGAGGTAGAAGAGAAAGCTAGCCACAAATATAAAAACAGATGGCAAGAGATCCTATAACTAATTAAAAAAATGTGTTAACAAAGTAACAGTTGGTCCTCTAGTTAGTAAGACTGGGAGATTTATAATGAAAAATAAGGAACTACCAGGTGAATTATCAGGTATTTTGCATCTCTCTTCACTGTAGCAGATACAAGTAACATTCCTGAAGCCTGATAAATAAGGAAATGGAAGGGAGGGAGGCACTCAGGAAAATTACAATCACCAGAGAAGTGGTAGTAAGTAAATTGTTGGTGCTGCAGATTGATAAGTGTCTGTGTATTGATGGACTTCATCCTAGGGATTTAAGAATGGCGAGATAGGTAATACATTGGTTTTAATGTTCCAAAACTCCCTTGATTTTGGCACAGTGCTTTTATTTGGAAGATGATTAATGTAACTCCTTTGTTCAAAAAGAGAACGAAGCAGAAAGCAGGAATGGACAGGCCAGTTAGCTTAACAACTATCAGAAGGAAAAATTAAAACCTATTATTAAAGAAGCTATAACAGGGCACTTTGATAAGTTCAAGGTAATTGAGGAAAGTCACCATGGTTTTGTGAAAGGGAAATCATGTTTCACCAATCCATTGGAATTCTTTGAGGAGCTAGCAGGTTTTGTGACTGAAAGGGAGCCAGTGATTGTACTGTATTTGAATTTCCAGAAGGTATTTCATAAGGTGCCACATCAAAGGTTGTTGCTAAAATAAAATTCATAGTTTAGGGGGAGCATATTGGCATGTATAGATGAGGTTGTAGACATGCTTACTGAGCCTATGGGTTTGGTTGCAGACGTTTCGTTACCCTGCTAGGTAACATCGTCAGTGCGTCTCCGATGGAGCGTCGGTGTTTTGTGCAGCTCGTTAATTATATGCCTCGGTTTGCTGCGGTGGCTGTTACTACTTCCGGTTTTGTTTCTCAGTGACTTGTAAACAGGGTCTAATTCATTGTGTTTGTTGACAGAGATCGAGTTGGAATACCAGGCCTCCAGGAATTCCCTGGCGTGTTTCTGTTTGGCTTGTGTGATTATTGATGTGTTGTCCCATTTGAATTTGTGTCCCTCGTTGACCGTGTGTAGTGAGACAAGTAAGAATTGGTCGTGTCTCTTGGTGGCTAGTTGGTGTTCATGTATCTGTATATCAGTGTGGCCTATGTAGTGTTTCTCACAGTCCTTGCGTGGTATTTTGTGTATTACCCCAGTTTCGCTGGTTTTGGGTATGGGATCCTTTACGTTAGTCAGTAGCTGTCGTAGGGTGGTTGTTGGTTTGTGGGCAACTCTGATACCTAGGCGTCTGAGTAGTCTTGTGGTCATCTCTGAAATGTCCTTGATGTATGGTTGTGTGATTAGTGAGTCTGGTCGTGTTGTGTCTTCCTGTTGTGGTCTGTCTCGGAGGTAACAGCAGGTTGTGCTTCTCAGTTATCCGTTTCTTTTGAAGACTCCGTATAAGTGCTCGTGTTCTGCTTTGTGTAGTTCTGGGTTGCTGCATTGTGTTGTGGCTCTTTTAAGTAGTGTCCTGATGCAGCTCCATTTAAGGGTGTTGGGGTGGTTGCTAATTTAATTGAGTATCTGGTCCATATGTGCAGACCTGCTATACACACTATTCATATATAGAATATTGACTGGCCAACAGGAAACAGAATGTAGGTTTAAGTTGACTTTCTTTTAAATGATTTTTTCAGGTTGACAATGTGTAACGAATGATGTGCCACAGGGATAGATACTGAGACCTTAGTTATGCGTACTTTATATAAATGACTTAGATGAGGGATGGAGGGTACGGTTGCCAAATTTGCTGAGACCTCAGAGACAAGTTTTGATGAAAACACAGGATAGTGCAAAAATATATTGAAAGATAGAGTGAGTGGGCAAATATGTGATAAATGGAGTATGATGTGAGAAAATGTGAAGTTGTATGTTTTGGCAGAATGAATAAAAGGCTTGTTATATAAATAATGAGAAATTGCAGAGCTCTGAGTTAAAGACAGACCCGGCTGTCCTAATGTATGAATTACAGAAAGTTAGTATATAGTACAGCAAATAATTTGGAAAGCTAATAGAATGCTATCATTTATCATTTATCACTAGAGGGATTAAATCCAAAAAGAAACATTGTGCTTCAGTTGTACAGGACACTGCCTCTGGATTACTGTGTAGTGGTCACCTTTATTTAAGGAAAGATGTAATGCATTGCAGACAGTTCAGAAAGGTTTTCTAGTCGAATACCTGGACTCTACAGGTTGTCTTTTGAGGAAAGGTTGAACAGATCAGGTTTGTATCTGCTGACATTTAGAAGAATAAGAGGCAACTTGATTGAAACACAAAATTGTGAAGAGTCTTGGTAGGGTAGATGGGAAAGATGCATCCTCTTATGGGAGAATCCAGAATTAGGGATCACTGTTTAAAAATCAGGGGTTATCCATTTACAACAGCAATTAGGCAATTTTCGTCCCAAAAAGGTGGTGGACGCGGTCCTTAAAAATTTTTAAGGCAGAGGTAAATTCTTGTTTAGAAAGGGGTTGAAAGGTTATTGGGTAGATGGGAATGTAGATTTGAGTTCTAATCAGATCAATTGTGATCTCACTGAACAGTGTTATAGGAGCTGAATGACCTACTCCTGCTCCTGATCTGTATGTTTGTATTCTGCACTCTGCCCTTCAATCTTTTCTACCCCCTTCTCCCATTCTCATACAAAGCTTTCTGGAAATTCCTTCTGGAGTATGATGAATTAGAAATCACTGAACTGACCAGAATTTTCACTCTCAATTATTGCAATGTGTGAGTGAATCCTAAAATAGTGTATTTTCAAATATGACCAAAGCTGTGTCAGAGGGTTGGTAAGGTGTGTACACAAGATGACCCTGCCTGTGAGTTAGTTACAGTTAAAATGGAATACACTTGACCAACCAAGCTCTTTTGGTTTTGCACATTTGTTTCTTATTTTTCCAGTACTTCATCCCTTGTGATTATTTAGTGTTTGTCACTCCCTTTTACCCATCCCTTTCTATACCTCTCCGGATGTTTTTTGTGTTGTCTACTCTGAAGACAAATACCAATAGGAGCAGCACAGGGCTCAGTGGTTAATACCGCTGCCTCACAGCACCAGGGACCTGTGTTCAATTCCACCCTCTGGCGACTGTGTTGAGTTTACACATTGTCCGCGTGGGTGTGCCGGTTTCCTGTGGGTGCTCCGGTTTCTTCCACAATCCAAAGATGTGCAAGTTAGGTGGATTGGCCATGATAAATTGCCCATAGTGTCCAGGGTTGTGCAAGTTAGATGGCTTAGCCATGGGAAACGCACGGATAGGATGGCGGGGTGGGTCTGGGAGGCATGCTGTTTGGAGTGGTGGTGTGCACTCAATTGCCTGCTTATATACTGTAGGGATTCTATGAAATTACTTGATCAGAACTTCTGCTGTTTTCTTGTATCCCATTATCAATACTCTTGTCTCTAAGTAGATAATGCTGATTTTAGATATGCTTTTTTTTAATATATTTGTTAAGGTTTTTAATGCCTTAATAATTTTTACCAGTTTTATCTCCTTCTCCAGTTTCTCCCTGTTTATGTTTTTGTAATCATCCTTTGTTGGTTTCTAAAGTGTTCGTAATCTCTTGGCCTACAATTTCTTTTTGCAGTATTGTACATATTTTCTTTCAATTTTATTCCATGCCTACCATCTGTGCCTAACCAAAGAAGTTATCTCCAAAACACAGAGTCAGTGAGATACAGAGAGAGACTACAGTGTTGAACAGCAAAATTTTTGTAGGGGAAACAGTGATGGGATATGGAGGGCAAGGTGGTGAGTGGCAATCTTTGCATATTGAGGCGTGGTGATTGGAGATAATTAGGGGTTATAGGAGGTAACTGAGGGGTAAAGGGGTTTGGGCTTCTATTTTCTCCATGGTCAAAAAAGCAGTTTTTTTCAAGGTCAAATTTGGTCTAAGGTATTTCATTTTAATGATTGAGATGGGTGATATTTATCCCACATTGTTGAAATACAGAAAGTGATGATCATTATGAAAGAAATAATGAATACTGGGAAGATTGCTTGGAAACTGGTTAATGTGTAGCCACATTCAAAAAATGGGAGGGTGAAAAAGGAGGCTTTGGTCTAGATCTGTAGACCCTCCTCTCAGGGTCAATCCTACTTCTCCCTTTGCTCCTCCTCCCTGGGTGTTACAGTACATCCTTTGTTCTCACTCTTTGGCCTTCCCTCTGGGCTCCAGATACGCATGCTGACTGGCTTCTCCAGCCTCTGTTAGAGGGTGCTACCCCTGTTGTATGCTCCCCCAGACATGGCATTTTTACAAGTAAAGTGTCTGACTGTTTCAGAAATTCAGACATAACTATTTGAGTTTGGTATGATGCCAGTAAACACAAGGTGTCCAATTCTGGTTATCAAAAAAAGAGGAAACAGTGAAGCATTGAAAGTAGTGCTGAGGAGAGCAAGGGTACTAATTTTGAAAAGAGGCAGGTTCAGCAGCAAATTAAATACACTGCTTAAAGCTGGAAGCTGTCAGCCTTCTCTTGAGAATCAGGAGGATAAAACTGGTGCAAAGTTGCCATAGACACCAGGTTCAACTTCCAGCATTACACCTGACCCAGTGCCAATTGACCCTTCAAATTTTTAGACAAACCACGAATGGAAACTTTTTTTTGCCCTGGGAAAGTTTCGCTCAGACTTTTGGGAGCCTCATGATTTAATTCCAACGTCACCCAGGTGTGCACTAGGGCTTGAAAGAAAAGCAAGCAATTTGAACACATCTTCTCAGTGATCCGATTCATTTTATTTTCACAAGGTCAGTGTAGTTGCCATATACTAATGATTCATATTATTTATTATTTTATTCTGAAAGGATTGTTTCTTTGAAATAAGTGACTTAACACCCGACAGTACGTTATGCATTATGTATCATGTGCAAAATAATCAGTATATCCTAAAGGATATTGTTAGTTTTATTGGTTATTATTTGGTGGACAATACACTATGTGCAGTTAACTACGGCTGAGTATATGTACAAATTCTAAAACTGTTTGTAGTTGGATATTGTTTTGTCACATGCCAGTGTGCGTACCCCAGTGAAGCTCGGAGTTTTGCCACCATGAGTATGTGTAGCATTAAGCACACCTGATGGCAAATGTTCCCAGTACTTGGATATCTCTTGAACTTGGAGAATGAGAGTCTTATTGGAGTGCAACTTTGATCAACTTAATGGTACAACAAATGTAACGTAGACGTGAAATTCACTGAAAGTAAGGAATATTACTTATTAACTGAAAATCATGGGTGTAAGGAACCAGTTCTCGACACTCTTTTCCCCCCCTTTAACTCCACCGCTCCCCCTCCAAACCCCCCACTTCTGAATAAGTTCTGAATAGCATAGAATCAAGATAAGTATATACTGGTGGTATTCATGTTTTTCCAAACAATAATTTCATGTTTTCATTCTTGTCAGTGGGCCAATGTGGCAATCAAGTTGGCTGCAGATTTTGGGACTTGGTTTTACGAGAGCATGCAAATGTGAATAAGGTAAATGAGCAGTAATACTTATGATTTTTACAAGTGGAAATGGAAATACATTTAGACATCACTAGACACCTGCAAACCCATGGAACTGTACACAAATGTGACCTGAAGACTTTTGGTGTGGAGGGAGAAAATATTAATTAGTAATACTGTATATGAAAAGTGCAGAAAACTTTCAACTACTGGCATGATTTCGTAGTTGCTAACTAGTAAAGTAAAAGTGAGTTGTTCCACTCCCCTTAAGAGTTTCCAACAATTTAAATAACATATTCTTTCTGACTTGATTACCTGTTTTTAATATAAATGTGTTTATTAATTGTTTTTATTACTTGGATGGATTAGATTTTACAATTGTTGAGTTTGACTTTTTGCTAATATCATTGTGAAATGGTTTAAAGAGAAAATTGATTAATTCTGTTTCTAATTTAGAAAGGCATCTATGATGAAGCGCTTGGTAACTTCTTTAGAAATGTGGATACAAGGTAAGGAATTTAGTTTTGAATGAATTTGTTGAAATTGAAAATATTGTAAAAACCATAACATTTTCCTACTTTGAAAATTGGCAATAAACCTGAAATGATGCTAAGAATGACATAGTAAAAATGATATTCACAAATGTTGCAAATTAAAACTTTTTCAAATGGCGGAAAGGAATAGATTGGCAGTAATATTTTTCTGATGTAATTTTCTTCAGGATCATTTATTTATTACAAAAACAATCACCTGTTTTTATGAATTCATTATTTTGTAGATCTACTAATGGAGATGATATAAATCTTCACAAAGGAATAATTCGATCTCTTAAAGCTCGGGTAAAATCTTTACTTCTTATTGTGTACAATTATAACTTGGTAATGATATAGTAATTGCCTATTGGACTGCAAGCATTTCTTGTTTGAGGATTCATTTTATGAAGAAATACTTCCATAGTCAGGAAAAGGATGAGATAAACAGACACTTATGAACGTTCTGCTAATGATCTGGTTTATTTTTGTTTTGTAATGTTGAATTTTACCTCATCGATTTGTTATGGTTTAATTAATTTAGTATAATCAAATCATTGTTGGTTTTGTCTGAATATTTATGTCAAAGTTTAACATTCGGAAGCATTTATTTTTGTCTTCTAGGCAGTACTCGTTGACATGGAAGAAGGTGTCGTTAATGAATTACTTCAGGGTCCATTGAGGGATGTTTTTGACAGTAAACAACTTATAACTGATGTATCTGGTTCTGGTAATAATTGGTAAGAAAATCAAAAGAAAAAATAAATGACTAATGACCCTCCAGATTGAATCCATCTATTTTATAACTCTACCAGCTTAGTATCTAACTCCAACTATTTTTGTCTATACTTTTTACATTGTAAACCATTTGAATTAGATTTTTTTTGTTTATTACCTCTTAAGTTTACTTCCTGCTTAGCTGAACATATTTGTAGTCTTGGTCTTATCCACCATAAAACAATAATATTCTAGATCAGTATTTCCCAAACTTTTTCCCACTGTGACTCAATTTTGAGCCTTGAAAATCCTCATGCTGTGAGGTTGCCACTATGGGTGCAAATCTGTGAGCTTGGGATAAGGAGCACTCTGAAAGCAAGAGACTGTTGGAATGACAGCACAGTGTCATAACTTGTCCTTACCTCTACTGGGAGTAAACCTGTTATAGTTAATTTTATTTATGTATAATTTAAAACATTTACTTTATACAGTTCTCCTGATATTCCTATCTGTTGACAAGGGTTGTCCGATTTTCTTGCTTGGGGTTGCAGAAGTGGAATGGAATGGGTTGCACATTTCATCTTTTCTTTCCTGTGCCTTCCAGTGAGAAAATTTTGCAGAAAACGAAATTTGGTGGAACAGTAATGATGAATCTCTGTGACAAAAAATGCAAAGAAAGAACTCAGTAACTTAAATGACAAATGTGAAGCAGCTGAGCTAACCAGGAAGCAATTCTTTTTGGTATTTATGTTTAAGCACAGTTAGAAAACGATAGACTGGGCTGAAAATCCTGTTAGCCAGAAACGTTGAGCAATCTAGGGCCTAGGGTCCAGGGTCCCTCTCAAACCTTGCACACACACCCACTCTCTGGACCCCATGAAGTTTCATGGCATCAGGTCAAACATGAGCAAGGAAATCTTCTGCTGATCTACCATATACTGCCCATGCTAAGCCGATGAATCAGTATTCCTCAATGTTGAACAGCACTTGGAGGAAGAACGAAGGGTGTCAAGGAATGTACATTGGGGTGAAGGATTACAGTGTACTCTGTACAGTGTACAGAATGTACTCTGGATGGGGGATTATAACGTCCAACACCAAGAGTGGCTCAGCACCACCAGTACTGACTGAGCTGGTCAGGTCCTAAAGCACATTGCTAAACTGACTGAGTCTGTGGCAGGTGTGAGGGAATCAATAAGAGGAAAAAACATGACCTCATCCTCATCAATCTGCCTGTCACGGATGCATCTGTTCATGACAGCATCGGTAAGAGTGACCACCACACAGTCCTAATGGAGACAAAGTCCTGTCTTAACATTGAAAGTACATGTCATTTTGTTGTGTGGCATGATCACCCAGTTAAATGAAATAGACTTCAAATAGCAACTAAAGACTGAACATCCATGAGGCACTGTGGGCCATCAGCAGAATCATATTCCACCATGGTCCAGCATATGCCCCATTCTACCATTACCATCAAACCAGGAGATTAACTTTAGTTAGGAGAAACCAGCAGAAAGAAATCCCAGGAGCAGCACCAGGAATACCCAATGTCGACCTGGTGAAGCTACAAAATACGACTACTTGCATGCCAAACAGCATTAGCAGCAAGTGATAGATAGAGCTAAGTGATTCCACAACTAATGGATTAGATTTAAGCTCTACTGTCTTGCCACATCTCATTGTCAATGGTGATATACAATTAAATAACTCACTGGAGGAGAACGCTCCGTAAACATCCCCATTCTCAATAATGGGGGACAGCACATCAGTGTAGAAGATAAGGCTGAAGCATTTACAACAAACTTTAGCCAGAAGTGCTGAATACATAATTTATCTCTGCTTCATTCACTGGTCACCAGCATTATACATATCGGTCTTCAGCCAATTTGATTCACTCATTTCATGAAACAGTTGGAGGCACTAGATGCTGCAAAGGCTATGGTCGCTGACAACATTCTGACAGTAATACTCAAAACTTTAGCTCCAGAACATGCGGCACCCTTAGCCAAGCTCTCCCAGTACAGCTACAACATTGGTATCTATCTGACCATGTGAAAGTTGACCACATATGTCCTGTCCATAAAAAAATGACAAATCCAACCCAGCCAATTACTGCCCCATCAGTTTACTCTCGATCACTAGTGAAGTGATGGAAGGTGTCAACAACAATGCTATCAAGCAGCACCTGCTTAGCAATAACCTGCTCCGTGACACCCAGTTTGGGTTCTGCCAGGGTCATTCAGCCTCTGACCTTTATACAGCCTTGGTTCAAACATGGACAAAAGAGATGAGGTGAGAGTGACTGCACTTGACATCAAAGCAAGGAGTCTTGGCAAAACTGGAGACAGTGGGAATTAGGGTAAAACGGTCTTCTGATTGGAGTCATACCTGGCACAAAGGAGGATGGTTGTGGTGGCTCGAGGTCAGTCATCTCCGTTCCAGGGCATCACTGCATGAGTTCTTCAGAGTAGTGTACTTGGCCGGACCATCTTCAGCTGCTTCATTAACACTCTTCCCTGCATCCTAAGGTAATAAGTGGGGATGTTTGCTGATGACTGAACAATGTTCAGTACCATTCACGACTCCTCTGATACTGAAGTAGCCCATGCATAAATACAGCAAATCCTGAATAATATCCAGTTTTGTCTGACAATTAACAAGTTACATTCTCATCATACAAGTGCCAGGCAATGACCGTCTCCAACAAGAGGAAATCGTAACTTATTGTCCTTTGACATCCAATGGTATCACCATCACTAAATCCTCCTATTACCACCGTCCTGGTGGTTACCATTGACGAAAAACTGAACTGTGGTGCAATGGTAGTGTCCCTACCTTTGGCCCATGTGGCCAAGGTTTAAGTCCCCACTGGACCAGGTGGCCCGGGTTTATGTCCCACCTGCTTTAGAGGTGAATAACAACATCTCTGACAAGTTCATTGGAAAATATCTACAGTTCAGGTTCCTTGTTCTACCTCACGCTGATCCGGATTGTAAGCATATCATTGGATATAAGCACAACAGTAAAAATTGTCAAACAAGACTTTAATTAAAAAGAAATTCATTCCCCCATAATGATGGATATATGTAGCAGATCTCTGAGTTAAAACATTAAAAAAAAGTTTTGGGATGTGAAACTTTGCAGGTAATTGTTCCAGTTAATACTTCAGAAAGAGCTGGGCAGGAATAGAACCAATAGCTATCAAAATTTCATTTCTCATCAAAATAATCACTTGTGTGTTATATTGATTTCTTAATTGCCAGGAACATGGAAACATCAGCCCTGTAAACGGAGTAATGATGTTCATGCAAGACTTTCTGAATGAATTTTGAATTAGCGTCAGGCAAACTTAGAAAGCAATTACATTTTACTGACATACACAATTCTGGCAGTTCACGTATACTTTCTGAATTTTTTTTCCGCAGGGCAGTTGGAAATAAACAATATGGTTCCCTGTACCGTGATCGTATTCTAGAAGTAATCCGAAAAACGGCTGAACATTGTGATTGTTTGCAATGCTTTATTTTAATTCACTCAATGGGTGGAGGTGAGTAGTACTTGTACACATTCTTGAGACACTACCAATTTCTATTTTGAATTGATTAGAAACTAGAACTAAATTATTAATTTTGAACTACTCAAATTTGCTTAAAAAATCAAGTTGTTAGAGGAAATATTTTCATGTTTTGACTATATAGTTGAATGAGCGTTCTAAACCTATTCAACAAATACAAGACATGGGAACAATAGTTGGCTGTTCATCTCTCCTGTCTGTTCAACCAATCAGTTAGATCATGGCTGTTCTATATGAATAACTTCATTTATTTGCCTTTGTTCTGCGTCACTTGATGCCCTATGCTAAAAATAATGTATATATCTCCTTTTAAGGAGATAAAAATTAATGCAGCATCCCTAGCCTTTTGGAATTGCAGGTTTCAGGGGCAAGATATTACATGCCCATGTTAGCTGTTTTTCTTGCTGGAGAGAGTGTATAATACAAGTCAGGTGACTAGCCCATCACTTTCTCACTCCCATATTGCAGAGAATGGACAGGTGCCAATATCAGCCGCTATGTAAGTAAATTAAGGGTCAGTTGAGCTTATTTAAAGTTCAGTGGATCCTGATATTACACCAGAAGGTGCTTGTCATGGACAGGCAGATGGGAGTGGAAATCCCATTATTTTCCCCTTTTTCTATATTTAAAAAAGCATAACTGAAGAGAGCATTAACATTAGAGGGTTCTGTTACCTATTGGGAGCAATGCTGCAAACTCCCAATTTGAGAAGACATCACTCCTTCATTCCGATGTGCATATACTTTTAAACCCTACCTTCTCTTATCTTAAAGCACCCCCCTCCCAAATAACTACCTCACCCCAGATTTCATTGGACTTCCTTCATGAGTCTGCATGCAGTGTCCACTGTAGAGCTGTAATGGTGCTGGAGCTGCCAACCAATCAGATTAGCTGGCAGCTCCAGACAATTGGGCTTTCAAACAGTGAGGTGTAGAAGCCCCACGCTGTATCAATGTACCTCACCCACAATGCATTATGGCTCCAGTTGACTTGACATCTCTGCTGACTTCCCTTTGCATGAAACATTGCTTCCTGATTTCACTCTTGAACATGTTTGTTCTAATCTTAATATGGTGGCCTCAGTGTTGTTCTGGATTTGCCACAAGAGGAAATAGTTAGGTGTGTATAGATGAACTATCGAATCCTTTCTCCCAAAACTGAATGTGATTCTTCAGATGGGAACTTGGCATGGTGCTGTAAAGCATCATTAATGAATTTTTGAATAATTAATGAATAATTTCATAATTAATGAATTAATCAAATTTTGAATTTCAACTGTTTGATAAAAGCCAATGTTCCATTGTCCCTTTTTTTAATTTGAGTTTTGTACCTTTGCTTTAATGATTTGTATACGTGAGCATACAAATCTGTTTGCTCCTTTGAAAGAATGGAGGAGGAATTGAAAATCGGGGAACATGGTGCTGCATTTCACCAGAAATCAGTTTTCTGACAGTGTAAATTTTTTTCCCAAGTTTCTTGGAGGATTTCTCTGTATGAAACCTAACGTGATTTCTCATGCTTTCCGTGAAACTCGCCTTATTAGCTATGTACTATGCCTCTATGGCACCCTGTTCATTTTATCTTCTGTCTTGGCAGAGACAAATGTACTTGCCACTGCTGGGCCTCCTAAGATTTATAGAGACATGGCCATTTCTAAAATGCAGTTGTGCACCAGCTCAAGCGCTGTTGCTGCCCTGCATGGTTCCTTTGTCAGAAAAATTACCCAGAAATGGTGGACAGAGGCAAGATTGGGCCCCAATTTGCCAACAGGGACTTGGTAGTCCTAGTGAATGGATTGATGCAGGTGAGGGTCATCCTCTTCTCTCAGAACCAACTGAGAAGGTCAAGGCACCAGACGCTGGCAACCCAATCTGAAATTACCACCACGGCCAGTGAGATGTCAGCAGTGCTGACGAACCTGCAGCAATATCACAAGAAGAACTTTGCTGTTCTGTGGGGCTAAGTCCCACCATCTTCTCTCTGCTACCTCACACTCACTCTCTTTCTGCCACTGCACCGACCACTCGCTAATACTCATGGTCTACCACTCCGACAATTACATGCAACACCATTGCTCACTTGCTCTCACCCACACCAGCCATTTGCAGACTACCAACTCTGCATGGCCTCTGAGCTGCCTGTTCACTCACTCACTTAAGACACCTCCCCACTGTTTCTCCACATGCACCAGCACTAACAGCAGTGCCAGCCCCTTTCATCTCACTCAATTCTTCCTTTGTCGCATTCCAGGCCCACAACAGGGCAGACTGGGCCACGCTGGATGGTAGGATGCCCTATATTTGCTTCCTCGACCTATGAAGAGAGAATCCTTCCCCTGGCTGGCAATGACCACAACTGTCGATGTTGTGATGCCGAAGCCTCGTTGTCCCAGAAACCAAATAAGAAATACTATCTATTGCAGTGAAGTTATCCCATTACCGCCATTGTGAATGTACTCTTAATATGCCTGAATGTCTGCCACTTTTTTGTAACACTTGCAATCTGCACAGTCTCCGCCCTCAAGAGGGCAGCCCCACTAGTCATCTCCTCATCACCTCTGACAAAGAAGTTATAAATCCCTCAGAGGATACACCAACAAGATTGCTCCTTACAGCCTCAGATATTTACACCTCTGGTGGATATTTTAGATAGATTAGAGCTGGGTGCACATACTGGTGAGCACATCACTGCCACATCTCAGCAGCTGATTGAGGAAAATTGCTAGTACTCGCAGGACTGCCAGAGGTCAGGCACCTCTTCAGCATTGGGCATTGTGTCTGCAATTAATGACTTGATACACAGGTGTAAGCTGAAGCAGGAGCAACAGGTCCATTTGTCAAAGTCACTGGGCAAACTGACTTGAAGATTGCAGTCTCAGGCTCTGAGACATTAATACATCTCCAATGTTTGTACTGTGCTGCCTTCAGTAAGCAAGCATCTGGCTGCTTTTACAGACATGTTGACATCTGCTATAGAGAGCCAGATACAACACACTCAGTATCAAATGGATATAAGTCTAGACTGGCACTCCATTGCTGTAGCTATTGGCACCAACAGCAGGAGGACCTTGACTTCATTCCAAATGCTGTTTCCTTAAAAAGAGAAAGGATGGTGTCTGTTGGCACCCAGCTGGTGAAGGAATGTACAGGATGCCAGGACTCTCCTGTGGACTCGAGCCGCAACTATCCTCAGGGTCATGTGCCCAAAAGTGCAAGGCCTGCAGGCTCCACTGTTGAGTAGATTCTCTCCACCCAAGCTACGGAACCTGAGACTACACAGAGACGTAGTGGGAGGGAAAGGAAGAGGAATGTCTTCTCGGGGCACACAGGTGAAGTTTCATTGTAAATATGTATTTACTTTTCATCATCAGCTGCTTGAGCTAATGTTATTTTAGCTTCAACTGCAGGCATGAAGGCACAGAGATTAGTCATTCTTAACACTACCAGATATTTTTGGTCCAAGCTGTGAAGTGAACAGCTCTGGAACTCTGGATAGTGATCAATACATTGGTAACTAAGCTGAATCTTTCCAGGCTACAGTGCATTGTTTGTGCAACCCAGCAATCCAGTGGGATTGATTTATGATGTTGCATGATGTAGTTGAGAGCTTGGAGACGGGATTTGTACTCCACACAAGAGGTCAATGCCTAAGATTCACATAGTACTTTATGATCACAAGAGCCTTTCACCTATACTATGTGGGTGTCAATTTAATGCTGTTGACCTTTTGCAGAGCTTCACATCTCGCCAAGGTGAAGGTCCTTGCCTCACACACTGAAATAATTACCCTGCCGTGTCTGCCATCAATCCAGGAGCTTGGACATGGTCAGTCGAATACTTGTGGTTATTAGGGCAAGGGGATCTGTATCCTTATAATCTTGGGAGTGAGCTACAGTCAGCTGTGTAGATCCAGTGCAACCAGTTGGGAGTCAGGGAAGCTGCACAGATCAGTCATCGATTAGAACTGTCTATCCAACACAGCCAAGGACACGAGCCACTGTCAATCAAGGTGGGGTTATCACATGCCACTGCTGTGGTACGAAAGCTGGGGAACTCAATTTTAGGGATTGGAGACAGCATTCTGGGATGCGGTTAGGACAGCAATTGTGCTATGGAAATAATTTGGCAGATACATGGTGCAGGCATGCAATTGGTCTAACATGACAGTAACATCTCTCACCCTGATGACTACTGCCAGGCGTGACAAGTTGCCTGTCTTTATGTCTGTGCTAATAAGCAAGGAAAAACAGAAGTACTGAGTCCTGGCTGAGGGATCAAAGCACAAATAGGGCAGACAAGGCAGAGATGCAAGTAGCTACAAAGTGAGCTAGTGCTGAGAGCATAGAGTCATGCAGCAAGGAAACAGATCCTTCAGTCCAACTGGTCCATGCCGACCATGTTCCCAAAACAAACTAGTCCCACCTGCTGGTGTTTGGCCCATATCCCTCCAAACCTTTCCTATTCATGTACTTATCCAAATATCTTTTAAACATTATAACTGTACCCGCATCCCCCACTTCCTCTGGCAGTTCATTCCACATATAAACAACTACTCTCTTTGTTTAAGAAAAAGAAGTCCTATTTAAATCTTTCTCCTCTCACCTTAAAAATACGCCCCCTTCTTTGGAACGCCCCACCTTGGGGGAAAAGACCTTTGCTATTCACCTTATTTATGTCCCCATGATTTTATTAATCTCTGTAAGGTCATCTCTCGACCTTGTACGCTCCAGTAGAAAAAGTCCCAGCATATCCAGCCTATTTTTATAACTCAAACCCTCCATTCTGAGCAACATCCTGGTAAATATTTCCTGAACCCCCTCCAGCTTAATAATATCCTTCCTATAACAGGGTGACCAGAACTGCACGCAGTACTCCCAAAGAGGCCACGCCAATGCCCTATACAATTTCAACATGACATCCCGGCTCCTATACTCAAAAGTCTGAGCAATGAAGACAAGCGTGCCAAATGCCTTCTTAACTACCCTGTCTACCTGTGACTCAAATTTCAAAGAAATTTGTACCTGACCTGATCTCTGTTCTACAACACCACCCAGGGCCCTACGATTAATTGTATAAGTCCTGCCCTTTTTAGTTTTACCAAAATCCAATACCTCGCATTTATCCAAATTAAACTCCATTTGCCATTCCTCGTTTCATTGACCCAATTGATCAAGATCTCTTTGTAATCTTAGATAACCTTCTTCACTGTCCACTATACCACCAATTTTGGTGTCATCCGCAAACTTACTAATCATGCCTTCTATATTCTCTTCCAAATCATTTATATAAATGACAAACAACAGTGGACCCAGTACCAATCCCTGTGGGAACACTGCTGGTCATAGACCTCCAGTACGAGAAACCACTTCCACCACACCCCCTATCTCCTACCGTCAAGCTAATTTTCCATCCAAATGGCAAGGTCACCCTGAATCCAGTGTGATCTAACTTTACTCAATTTGCATCTACCATGCGGAACCTTATCAAAGGCTTTACTAAAGTCCAAGTAAACAGTACTTAGCACTCTGCCCTCATCAATCTTTTTGGTTACTTCCTCAAAAAACTCAATCAAGTTTGTGAGACACGATTCCCTTGCACAAAACCATGCTGACTATCCTTAATCATTCCTTGCCTCTTTGAATGCTATTTTTCAGAATCACCTCCAACAACTTACCCACCATCGATGTAAAGGTTAACAGGTCTTTAGTTCCCAGGCTTCTCCTTACAGCCTTTCTTAAATAAAGGCACAACATTAGATGCCCTCCAGTCCTCCGGCATCTCACCCGTGGTTATAGATGATACAAATATTTCAGCTAGGGTCCCTGCAATTTCCTCCCTAACTTTCCACATGTCCTGGGATACATTTGATCAAGTCCTAGAGATTTCTAGAGTGTTTTCTAAGACCTCCAGTACTTTCTCTTCTGTAGTGTAATCTGTTTTCTAAACATCAATATGTATTTCCCGAGTTCTGTAGTCTCCAGCTCTTTCTCCACGGTAAAAATTGATGTGAAATGTTCATTTAATATCTCTCCCAACTCCTGAGGTTCAACACAAAGACAACCTCGTTGATCTTTAAGGGACCCTACTCTCTCTCGTTGCTCTCTTGCTGTTCGTGTACTCCTAGAATCTTTGGATTATCCTTAACCTTATCTGCCAAAGCTATCTCGTATCCCCTCTTTGCCTTGCTGATTTGCCTCTTAAGAATGCCCCTACATTCTTTAGACTATTTAAGAGATTCATTTGATCCCATTGTCAATATGTAATATATGATACTTTTTTATTCTTGATTAGAACCTCCAATATCTTTATTCATTAATTATTCCCTAATCTTACCAGCCTTATCTTTCACCCTAACAGGAACATAATGCCTCTGACCTTTCATACTTTTGAAAGCCTCCCACTTGTCAGTCGTCTCTTTATCTGTGAACAGTCTACTCCAGTTAAGAACTTTAACTTTTATGGAAGGCTTATCCTTTTCCATGAATATTTTAAAACAAATACAATTATGATCACTAGTCTCAAAGCGTTCACCTACTAACACTTCAGTCACTTGCCTTGCCATATTTCCCAAGAGAAGATCATGTTTTGTTCCCTCTCTAGTAGGATCATTTACACGTTGATAAAGAAAATTTTCTTGAACACGTTTAACAAATTCCTAACCATCCAAGCCTTTGGCACTATGGTAGTCTCAGTCAATGTTTGGAGATTTAAAGCCCCTACTATTATAAATCTATTATTCTTGCATATATCGAGATCTCTCGATATTTCCCTCTGACTATTGGGGGGGCTATAATACAATCCCATCAACGTTATCATCCCTTTCATATTTCTGATATCGACCCATATATTTTCACTGGACGATCCCTCAGAAATATCCTCTCTAATTACAGTATTAATGCTTTTCTTAATCAAAAATGCCACTCCCCCTGCTCTCTTGTACCCTTTTCTATCCTTCCTATAGCATCTAAAACCTGGAACAATGAGCTGCCAGTTCTGTTCTTCCCTCAGCAAAGCTTCTACAAATAGTTATGATGTCCCAGTCTCAAGTTCCAATACATGCCCTGAGTTCATCAGCCTTATTTGTAAGACATCTTGCATTGAAATATATGTAGTTTAAATCTTCCGCGTTACCTTGTTCTCTGACTTGCATTTGTCTATCTTTTCTAATTAACTTGCTAATTAGAACAGCCCTTAGCTACATTCTGGTTGAATCCAGATGTTGGATGTCTGCTTTTATATGCAAAGTGTCCTGACATCAGCATTGCAATTAGAGATGCTGGTGCATTCGAAAGTGAAGTACTGCATTTTAATTGTGTTGGGGATATGCCATGAGGTTGCTGTGAGTCAAGTATGTGTTTGATGACAGTGCTTGCAGTCGTGCACTCACCACCCTTAGAGCATTCTCTGAGATGTTGGTTACTACCGTCCAAAATGAAGACCTGTGGGAGGAAGCAGTCAGCTGAAGTCACCAGGTACCCACTCATGTTGGGAATTATTGCCATCTAGTTTTTATATGGTGGATGGGACAGTGCGAAACACCATATCAATGAGGTGAAATTGGCTAATAATGCATGGAAATAGATAAGTAGGCCTCTCACCACTCATTTGTGACATTATCATCTCACCATTCAAAAGTTGGTTGCAGAAGAGGACATTTTTTCTGAATGTTGAGAACCCCATTTTTGCGGATCTCACCTTATTTTCTCAACTGACTCACCAATGCCCTCATTGCTCAGGGCTGCAAAGATTCCCTCACAGCCTCGGAATAAGAAATATGTCATTTAGTGACTGAGTAATTTCTTCACTCAGATGATGGTGAATCTTTGGAATCTGTCGAGAACAGTGGCAGCTCAGTCATTGGTGTGTATTTGAGGCACGGATTGATAGAGGTCTATCTATTAAAGGCCCTCAGAGAAAATTGCATTGAGGTTGGTCAGTCATGATCCAGCTGAATGGCAGAGGAGGCTTGAGGAGCCCAAAGGCCTGCACCTACCTGTATTTTGCTATGTTCATACATAACTCTTAATTTCTCATAATTAGGAAAATATTTTTAGGAAATATTTTTCTTTTTCAGTTTCAAAATGGATGACCTCTCAATTTCTCACATTGAACTGTATCTGCCATTTTTATGCCTAATCAGTAGGGTTGTCTATATATTCTTGCTCCCTCATTTACACAACTTCAGTGGCTGTTTAGTGTCATGTCAAAAATTGCATGTGTAACTCTTTTCCTTCATGTAAATTATTGACATATTCAATGAGAAGTGAAGCCTCAGCTCAGATCCCTGGGGAAAATCTGTCATCCTATTTCACCATCTAGAAAACATTCCTTTCATCTGTATTCTCTCTCCTGTATCTTCCAACCTGTCTGCAAATGTAAATCAAAGTTATCCATAGATTTACCTAAATTAGATCTAGGATATATTGTTTTCAGCAACAGTGCCATAAGCATATTTTCTCATGTAACATGAGTTGATGAAGTTTTAACAAAAATTCTTTTTTAGGGACTGGTTCTGGTCTGGGTACCTTTGTGCTGAGCCTTTTAGAGGATGAGTTTCCAGAAGTCTACAGATTTGTTACATCTGTTTACCCTTCTGCTGATGATGATGTTATCACTTCACCTTACAACAGTGTTCTTGCCATGAAAGAACTGACTGAACATGCAGATTGTGTTTTACCTATTGAGAACCAGGTATGCATAAGAATATTTCAGGATACACCTTTCAAGAAGAAATGTAGTTACAAATAATTGAGAATTATACAGTACCTTTTTAAATAAAACAACTCACAAAAAAACTTCACAGGATTGTATTACAGAAAAAAACAATACCAGCATCGAAGAGAATTCAGACAAAGTATTGTCAAAAGTTTGAAGGAGCTTCTTGAAGGAGGAGAGTAGTGAACCAGTTTACTGAGAAATCCAAACTGAGGACATTAACTGAAAGCATAGACACCACTGGTGGACAAAAGGAATGGGATAAATGTGAGACCAAAGTGGAAGAAACATACAGTTCATGAAGATCCGTTAATTACACAGGTCAGGAAGTTACAGAGCCAAGGAGGAGCAGCTATGGAGACCTTGGTGAGAAGTTGTTGTGGGCTAAGCAAACAGGAATAGTGTAGCAAGTATAGCAATAACAAAAATTTTGGTTTGGATTTTTACAAACTCATGGAGTATCGGGGGATCTTCTAAAATGGAAAGTGCACATGGATCCAGAGGTCTCATTGCCGATTCAGACAGATCCTGTTTTAATGGAGGGGAAATATGGAGGCAAAAACAGGGATGAGGTGTGACTTCTACATGTGGGAAACACTAACCCAGCAGGGCCATTTGAACTCCATGCTGCGTCCTCTGCTGGAAGAGGGACTGTGTTCTGCATTATAGGACTTATGACTCTTTAAATAAGTCAATTCCTTGACTGACAATAAGGTCTGTGTGGCTGCAAAATTACTCAAATGTTGTCTTTTTTATGTGGGATTAAGTATGTAAAGTTAATTTAAATTAATTGAGCTTTCACGAATACAGATGTAGTGAAGTCTGTAATATGTGTTTGAAATTTTGGCAACCATTCTCCAATTTGTAGTCTGTGTGTGGGATGGACATGTCCAGACTGAGTTGTCACAACTCACTCAGCTCAGCAAGACTCCTGTGGCTTGTCTATGGTGGACACTGGGTGAGTTAACATCAAAGGTGTAAGAAACTAACTGAGATAAAATCCAAGAGAACCTAGATGTTAATTATAATTACCTACATTTTGAGAAATGTTTTGTTACTTTATATTCAATTTCTGGTAATTTTAATTTTTGAACATTGTGTTTGAAAGTTAGAAGTTCCAGTAACACACCTTTATCTGTGAAAAATGTGTGTTTGCACAGTGTTGCAAAATATATACGCTTCATTAGTATCACGGAAGCCATAGTTTTTTTTTCAGATTTGACCTTCAGTTATATTTCAAGACATAAATAACAGCAAACTGACAGTGCTGTTGCAGTTCTAAACTCAAAACAGTCAGATATAAATCCACATCTCTTGTAGCTATTTCCAAGCCAAGATGAACAACTGAGCTAATATGTAAGAACAGAAAATTTTGGAAACATTCAAGTCAGACATCACCTGTGGAGAATGAAACAGAGGTAATATTTCAGACATCAGGTTGTCAACTTGAAATATTAACTCTTTTTCTCTGTGCAGATGCTTCCTGACGTACTGAATATTTCCAGCATTTTGCAATTTCTTTTCAAATTTCCATCTGCACAGTTTTTCCTTTTGTGGTAAGCTCACATCACAAATGGTATAGGAGGAACAAGTTAGGAATGCGCAATCAATGACTGACAAAGTAAGTGAGAGAGAGGGAGGTAAATAAAAGCACTTTTATATGAAATATTGCAAGGAAAAATAATTTCCTGTTTCAGGGAATTCAGATCCTTATGTAGCTAAATCACATTTGATCTTAACTCTGCATGTCTCCCAAAATCAGACGTTCATCAAAAATGGTAATTCTGTTTCATTCTGCGCACACATTCTCTGGCATGAATATTTCCGGCATGAATATTTCCAGCATTTCTTTCTATAAATGAACTCCATTGTTCTTATCAGATCTGAAGTAGCTACAAAAGGTATGATTTAATTGCTCGGCTAGTTTGAGCTCAGTTGTGCTGTCAGTTTGCCATTAATTGTGTATTGAAACAACAGTTTTTAGATTTTGCATAAATTGAGACATGAATCATTTTGAAATCAAATCAAATCATAACCTATGAATTATATGTTTTGCAATGATCATTACAATTTATAGTATGGCAGTTTGCTGACCTTACAAGCTTTTTGTGTGAATTCAAGGCTCCATAAGGAAAACCAAATTAAGACATGCTGACTGTTCCCTCTATTTTGAAATTAGCTGTTTTGGCAGTGATAGAATTTGCTGGCTGCAAGAGGTGTCTTGGCAAGACTGCCCTCTGTAGCTCTGCTCCTAACAGCAAGACCAGATAGAATGGCTGTTCCCCACACATCAGCTAACCTGTCTGCTCAGAGCAAATGTCTATCATCTAGCTGAGAACACTGACATCATAGTTATGTTATTGCACTAATAAACCAGAGGTTTGAGCTAATAAACCTGACAACATGAGTTTGAATCAACCAAGACCATCTCAAATTTGAATTCAGTTTTAATAAAAGTGAACGTTTAAAGCGATTATCAGTGGGGCCTGGTCAGATGGAAGAAAGATAACATAAAGCTTTGAAAGATTTTTGTTTTAAAAAAACATGGTTATCTATTCTGCCCTACTTGTGTGTTTGGCTGCTGTGTGACTCTGTACCCAGTAGTGGTAGCTCTTGACTATCCACTGAAGAAATTTACAGAACCACACAGTCTATATGTAGATGTCTTGACTGTCACTGGTAGTTTTGCCAGAGCCAGTAGAAGTCAGAGTTTGGATAAGTAGAGTATTTTCAGGCTGGCAACATGTACCTAGTGGCCACAGAGATTGATGCTGAGGCCTCAATTATTTACAAAAGATGACTTGGATGAAGACAGTAAATGTACCATAGCCAAGTTTATCAATCTCACAAAAATAGGTGGGAAGGCAGTTGGTGAGAATGGCACAAAGAGTCGATAGGTTAAGTGAGTAGGCAAAAATTTGATAGGTGAAACATAATGTGCAGAATTGTAAGATTAGGCATTTTGACAGGAAGTATAGAAGAGCTGAACATTATTTAAATGGAGAAAGACTTTAGAAAGTAACAGAGAAGGGAGGGATTTGGGAGTCCTTGTCTGTGAATTATGGGGAAAAGGCAGGAGAGTGGAGTTGGGGATTATCAAATCAGCCATGCTGTCATCAACTGGTAGAGCAGACTCAATGGGCTGAATGGCCTACTTTTGCTCTTATATCTGTGGTCACATGGCCTCCTATGTCCTGGAAATTAATAAAAGAAAACACAAGCTTTTGTGACAACAAGGTGCAGGGCTGGATGAACACAGCAGGCCAAGCAGCATCATAGGAGCAGAGAGGCTGACGTTTTGGACCTAGACCCTTCTTCAGAAAAGGGGGAGGGGAATGGGATTCTGAAATGGGAGAGAGTGGGAGGTGGATAGAAGATGAATAGAGGAGAGGATAGGTGGAGAGGAAACGAACAGGTCGAAGAGGTGGGGATGGGGCCAGTAAAGGTGAGTGCAGGTGGGGAGTTAGGGAGGGGATAGGTCAGTCCAGGGAGGACTGACAGGTCAAGGGGGCGGGATGAGGTTAGTCGGTAGGAGATGGGGGTGCGGCTTGAGGTGGGAGGA